CGCCGGCAACATTTATTTTTTGTCGCTTCCTTTTACTTAAGACTTTTCTACTGTAATTTGCATGTCTACATTTTTATGCAGCAAATTTAAATGTGGGTGAAATCTTTTTTTTTTTGTATGGAGGCATTATTCTTTGTATCCTGTGTGGACAAAAACAAATTAGCAAAAACAGCAAGCAAAACACACAAAAAAAAAAAAAAAACAATTCCAAAAACAAAAACTGGCGAGAACAAAGTAGGTGTTAAATAACGGCAAACGACGAGCGGAGTGCTGGGAAAAATATAAAAAAATATTACATTAGGGTGGTACTTAAAAATTTCAACGTATAAATTTTGTATTTTTCTTTATTTTGTTATGCGCACAAAAGAAAGGCATGCACCAAAATTTCAGAATTTTAAACAACCAGGGTTTGAAAAAATTAAAATTAAGAAAAGGTGAAAATTCGATGAAAATTTGTATGTAGAACAAAATAAAGGGCTGACCCATGATGTTGATATTTTTAAGGACCACCCTATTGTATATGTATAAAAAACATAAATAAGCAAACACAATGTAAAAAAACACTGAAAAAAGTTGCTATTTTTTGTCTACACAACAGCACTCTTCACGCAAAAGCCTGTGGTTTTAATTATGAAAGGTAGCAGGAAGCAGCACAGAAGTGGTAGGAAGTGTCACACGCTAGCCTAGAATAAAAACCACAAAAACAACGAAGAACGGAAGCGTTAAAGCAATTCGGTTACAAAGGAAAAACAGAAATTATTTGCTGGTTTTCCCATTTTCTTTACACATATTCTTTACTTTGCTTTTCATGTTTTTTTTTTGTTTGTTGTTTCTGTTGTTACTGTCGCTAACACTCAAAATGTGACAAGTGTACACGCACCTGCCGTCCATTGTTGTTTTTGCTACCGCATTGTGAATGTCTTGCCTATTGTGCTTGTGCGTTGGCTATGCCTCGCACTCTGTCGCCTATGCCTCGTTTTCATTATTTATTTACTCTCTCAATTAGTTAATTACTGTTTTGTTAACAAAAATCTCAGCTAAACTTTATGCTTCGGACTTTGTTTGGCTGTGCCTAGAAGTAGTTGTTGTTTTGCATTAATTAATTACATATTAATATTGAATTCAGGCGGTTTACTTACAATACATTTTTTTTTCACGAAAGTTCTATAATACTTTATGTAAGTGGCTACAGTTAATATAACACCCTTTTTGGACTCTCAGCATAGGTAGCCGCTCAAAGAGAGTAATACAAAGAGTCAAGTAAAAGTACTACAGCAGATCAAGCGAGTTATTCTTTCTTTCGCCTAACGCATATATTTACAATTCTCAATAAGCTTATGAAATAATTTAAAGTCATGCCGTTTGCATGGAAATAATAAGACGCCTCATTTTCACAATAATTTCCTGCACATTCTAATCTTTAAATATAAATAAAGAGTTCACCTATTGCCCTTACATTGAGTTTCTGCATTTCTGTCTGAAGTAAATGAATACGATCCCTTACGACAATCTGAAATTGAGCCTCAGAGTCCTTCAGGCTACTGTAGTGTTTGTCAGACTGAGATATATAATCTATGCAAACAATATGGCGGCAAAGTTGGTAAACAATAGGACTGTTCAGGATGTTGAGGAAACGATCTTGGATTTGCAGTTGGAATTGCATTTGCAAATTTTATGCTTGCTGCCATGGGAACCATTTATTGTTCTGAATTTACAAATGTACTTAACGAATACGCAAATACAAGGGCATATGCACAAGATCCTGAACAGCCCTAATATGTACCTTTCTCCTACAAAACTTTTCCTCGGCTTAGATATATGTTTAGAAACGTCGAACATCAACTAAATCTCTAGCACGGGTATTCTGGAAATTTATATCGAAAATTTATAAATCGGTCGAGTAACTATGTGGGGAAAGAGTCTAAATCGGGAAAACTTAATGACGTTCAAGCAGACAACTTACTACGACTTTTTTGCACCGATAAGACTTTCATAATGTACATAAGTCCCAAAATAAAAGTCTTTGTATCTCGCTGATATTTGTTATGAAAAGCTTTTAGAACAAAAGTCTTCGAATAATTGTTACAGATGACTTGAAAAATGTTCATCCTACTAAAATAACACAGGTTTACAAAAAAAAAGTTTCTGCCCTGAATGCAAATCCGAGGTCTGTTAGCCTCCATCACGTCAGGTTCGTGGTTATTTTAAGGTGAAGTAGGGAAATTCAATTCTTCTGAACTTGACCTTGGGATGACCTTGGCATGATTTCGAGACGACTTTGAAGAATCAAGGGACTCCCATATTCGGATTCAGTGACAAAAAAGAAGAAAATTATTTGTTTTGAATAAATTTGTGCTCCTATTTGACCCTCAAAGGACCTCGAACCTTACATTATGGAGGTTAACATACCGCGGATTCGGGTTCAGTGAGTCCAAAACCCCCTATTACTCATATGAGTTTTCATATTTATTCAATGAATTTTTCCATACTTGACCTTCAAATGACCTCGAACCTGACATTATGAAGAAAGCTCTAAGTTTCACTTCTTAAGTAGCTTAAATCTGGAAACAAGCAGTGATATTATTAGCAGTACCATTTGAATGTCGGAAATACCCAGAGGTATTAAATTTCCGAGAAACATTACGCATAGAGCAGACTAAAGCAAAGATATTCTTCTAAAAGCGAATTGCTGGTAAATTTCGTGTGGGACAAAGTGGGACCAATTCGGATGAATTTGCGTATCTGTCGTTTGTGTAGGTACTCAATGCAAATCATCAGAAGACACTTCTTCGAATCCTCTCCCCAACAAAACAAGGTATTTGGCTGGCCGGTTGTGAACTATGCCCCTCAAAATGCTCAGCAAGCAGTTTCTGGTGGGCGGTCACAGCCGTAAACAAACCAACAAACATCTGCTTAAGGAAGAGCTTCCACCCAGGCACGTCAGAAGGCATCTTTTCGAGTACATGGACGCGGTCCAGATTTCCACTGATCAATCGCTGGACCCGGCGATATACCGACGAGTGATCAACGGCATTCATAGTGAGTCGGTCACCACCTACCATGACTCTCGACCTAGGCCTTGATAAGAGCCCAGTTTCCACCTATTGCACACTCTGAGCCTCGACTACCATGAGAGATCCGCGTTACTCTGACCCAATTACGGTCAGGATATTATAACGGTCTTAACAGCTACTTTTCTCTACTCGAACCCAATATCCCCAATGAGTGTCCAGCATTGAAAAATGTCCGCCCATGGGCCTCATTGAACTGAACAGTAAGATTATTGGCACTTCAATTTCAACTGCTCGACCAGCATCTATTAAAATACTGCTTTGTCTATCCAATAGAAATACTAAAATTTTAAAACTCCTCTCTCAGGCACTGATCACAATAGAACACCTTTGGTGATATAATTTTAAAATCTTCATACTCCTAAATCAAATCGGCAACTTGCTGAAAGTAAAAATTTTTGGAAGGTCGGGAAGTACAACTCAACAGCGAATAGAGCATTAAACGTTTTTCACAACAGCATCAAGGTGCTTGACGAAGGGAGGTGGCTAGAAAGAGTCGTTGAGCAACACAAGTCAAACTAAAGGGCGAAAAAGTTGGTGGTTCATCATCTATTTGATTTGAGGAAAGTTATCAAGAAATATCTTTTGGAATTGGTATAGATTGTTCCTACTTTTATAGCCAAGGATATGATGGAGCTCCAGCGCGATTAGTGGTGAATTAAACGCAGCCCAAGTGTGCTGCACATATTATTAACACAGCCGTGAATGCCGAGTATGGAAAAACGACAATTCAGCAACACGAAACTCCCAGTTCCTGACTGCTTTTTGGAATTTTAAATGTCTTGCAAAATAATGCAGTCAGTGTACTTTGAGTAAGCAATTGCAATCAGAAACGCAAAATTTTTCTGGGGCTTTGAAAATGTCGGCGGAGATTATTCAGGAATTTCAAGAGATGGTAGAAAGTGCAAAGTAATTTTCACGAAGTTTTCGAAAATGTGAGCGAAGTATGCACAGAATACGACATCGATATCAAGAAAACACTCAGCAACCCAAAAAGAATAGAAGCAACGTCGATACGGGTAGCGTTAAAGATTACTATAGAATTGCATTCTACAAAGATTGCACCCATCGTTTCGAACATAACTCATTTTCAGAGTCGTTTTATCAATAACCAATCTATTTTAGAAAACTATGATGTTTTGTTCGCCAAAAATGAGACTGTATGGGTTCGAAACCCACCACCATAAATCGACCACTGCTTTCCGTACATCACGGGCAGAAAATCAAAACCTAAGCTTCCACCAAAAACATTGCTGTCATACGTAAACAAACTGGATTGTTCATCCACTTAAAAGAAATATATATATATGTATATATATCCGGATTCGCGGTAATTATTTGCCGTGGATCTACGGTGAAAATGCCCGTCACAACTGGGTGTCTATTAAATACGCTGCCACCAAAAGTATACCAACAAATGACCGATTTTTTTTTTTGCGAAGATGGTTTAGAACTTTTGTAGAATTTAAAATTATTCAAATACCGTTCACAGTCGAAGCCGGTTTTATTTGTATGCGCTTGGCTTATTTGTATCTAGTTATTTACATATTTATTGAAGACACGGTTGTTGTTGTTGTTGTAGCAGCATACAAATTCCCCAAAGACTTTTTGGGGAGTGTTGCTGGAGTGACAGTCCTTGGCCAGATATAAATCTGGGTCGTTCCGGTTACGTAGGCCCGACTGTCGTGGGAACGTGAAGACACGGTTCTACTTGTTCGCTGACTGTTTATGACTTTTTTCCTTTTTCCTTTGCTTTTCGTTATTTTTTCTAACTACTTTACCGTAGAAAAAATACCATAAATCGTATAAAACTCCACACCGTGGTTATAATTTGCTCATTACCATAATTCTTAAATTTCAATGATTTTAAAATATTTACATATTCTATAAACACTCATTTGGTGATAAAAATTTAATTTGCATACATACTTTTTGGGCTTTTTGTTTTGGGCCGCTTTTCCGCAAGCCGCTTTGCACGTTTTCTCCCACAAATTCGCGTCACAGACAGCAAAAAGCAACAGCAGTCAGTCACAAAGAATGTACAACGCTTTCCGGCTTTTTGTAATTGTAATTTCGCTCTTTTCTCTTTTTAACTCACCGTACGCGTCTTTTGGTATGATACGTTGTTCGCACTCGAATTCAATAGCAACAATAATATTCACAAAATTTTAAGTAAATTTTTTTGTACAATATTTCTTTTTTTAAAAATTCCTTTTTGTTTACACTCAATCGAGCAATTCATACGCCAACTGACAAACAACTTTCGCACAAAAGCGGCTGTCTGCTGCTGCTTCACACACAAACAAATTTCGCATAAATCACTACGCACAGCTCACGGGCACGTCGTCGTTGTTGCGCAGGAAAAGAAAGGCAAAAAAATTAACACGCGAACTGCGAGACAATGCAATTCGACAAAGAATGCCAAAATTAAAATAATAATAACAAATCGTTGAGTAAAATCCACAGCTCCTTAACACTTTATAGATTTGTTTAATTTTTATAAATTTTCTCGTTTCTCGCAACAAATTACTTTACTTGATTTGATGCTTCTTTTATTTGTCGATTTTGTTAANTCGCACTCGAATTCAATAGCAACAATAATATTCACAAAATTTTAAGTAAATTTTTTTGTACAATATTTCTTTTTTTAAAAATTCCTTTTTGTTTACACTCAATCGAGCAATTCATACGCCAACTGACAAACAACTTTCGCACAAAAGCGGCTGTCTGCTGCTGCTCCACACACAAACAAATTTCGCATAAATCACTACGCACAGCTCACTGGCACGTCGTCGTTGTTGCGCAGGAAAAGAAAGGCAAAAAAATTAACACGCGAAATGCGAGACAATGCAATTCGACAAAGAATGCCAAAATTAAAATAATAACAAATCGTTGAGTAAAATCCACAGCTCCTTAACACTTTATAGATTTGTTTAATTTTTATAAATTTTCTCGTTTCTCGCAACAAATTGCTTTACTTGATTTGATGCTTCTTTTATTTGTCGATTTTGTTAGACGCGCACCTGTCTCCATCTATTGCATTAAAAAATATCGGCAGCAATGGCCACAGAGAAAAACACAAAACTCACTAAACTCGAGGAGCCAGCACCATGCTGCTTACCTACGACAACAATCACGATTGCGAATTTAATTCTAACGACCAACCAACACGGATAACGGCGTAACGAAGACTGGACTGCATGCGCGCCCCCAAAGGTAACCAAGCAGCGCCAAGCCAAAAAGGCAGCCACTAGTAAAACAAAACAAGGTAAAGGCAGAAGCAAAAGCAGCGCAATGTAAAAGCACAGCCAGCAGCGAACGCCAGTCGTCAATGGCGCTCGGCAAGTTGGTGGAGCTGTTGCTGCTGCTGCTGTTGCTTACGCTGGCGTCGACGCTGGCGCCCCACTGGCTGCTTGTTTTGCTCGTATTGTTTTGGGGAGGTTCGTTTGGTCGTGCACTTGTTCGTCATGCAACATGTTTGATTGCGGTTCACGCGCAACATGTTGCTAGGGGAGCATGGCGATGGGTGGTGTTAATAAACACTTTCAAAGGCACTGGAGTGGGGGAAGATGTGCTGTTGTACATAAACACATATATACATACGTATATATGTATGAAATTCTCCTTTAAGACGCACATGAAGTAAACAAATTCGCCGCCACTTCTGAGTCTAAATTTTTTTAACCGACTTGAAAAAAGGGTGAGGTATTTTTTGAATATTTTTTTTATGACATATCATCGCCTGGGTAAAAGATTGTCGTAAGCGTCATACGTACGTGCGTAACATACGACAACCTTTTAGCCAGGCGACGATATGCTACCGCATAACTTTAGACCACGTTAAACGATTTCTATAATTATTTCTTTTTTAAGGAAAGGTGGTCCCATACTAATTTGGCGCGGATCCGATCTTTGGATCATGAAGAAATTAACGGTACTCTTAAACTTTTATATGACAATTGAAGTCGGTTTTGCTTTTTGCTTAAAAATTACTTGTTGAAAGGTAGTTTCAAAAAAATTGTGGTTTTTCTTTGGCCGAACACTTTTAAATTTTTTGTTCGTCACATCATGACGATGCATCATCGGCTCTTAAAATATGATATATTGAGAGACGCTATGTCTTTTTTTGTTCCAAAGTCCAGCAGAACTATTTAAAGAAAATTGGTTAATGTAGATTTAACCAAAAAATTTAAAAAGCGACCCTAGAATTCGAATTTTTTTCCAAATGGCCTTGAAAAAATACTTAAAATTGTTTCAAAGCCGCAGAGGTAACTTAAAATCAAATTTTTGTTGAAGAATATCTTTTGAATATCGGCCTAATCGGAGGTTAGACTATTATGTCTTACAACTGATGTCAAATGGCCATAGCCAACCTATAATTCTGCTTTTGGAGACCTACATAGGTTGATGAAGTCTTCCATTCAGGGAATACTTAGGCTCTGAAGAAGTGAGTAGTCCACTTGCAAACAGCGTTATGTGATTTTATATTAGTAAGCCATAAATTTAAAAAAAAAACGTCTAAAACAACAAGTAACATCCAAACTGTATGTTTCTTTTTATTATCTGAAAATTTGGACAAATAAGAGCCTAATAACATGAACTTGTATAAATACGTACAATAAATATTATAGCGACTTTTGTAAGTGTATATATACATACAGTAAGTATTATAGCCACTTTTGCTAGAGTAGCTAACATTTGATGCTATGTTTTTCAGAACATATAAGGATTTTGCACTGTATTGTTAGTGGACATGAAACTACTTTAAATACTGGTACGTTAACCACAAAAAACTAAAAATCTAAATAAAATTTACATAGCGCACTTTGCAAGTGGACTACTCAAGTATTTGCATAGCGTTTGAGCCCCACCTCTAGTAGGAATGTCCGTAGCCCAGTCATTTGGCAGGTGGGTTTCTAAGCTACCGTTCTTCTGTAATAGTGGACAATTAACTTTAACAAACTTTAGTTGGAATACCTCGTGTATGAATGATGTTTCTAACAGCAAGGGTAGTGACGGCCCTGACGAGCGAGCTCATTTATCACAATCTTCTCGAGTATCTGCTATGACTTATAACCCAGACAAAATGGCGCATCTAAGGTGAAATCAAATAAGGTGACGTTACCAGAGGACTCCTCGGTGAGTCTTTAAGTCAAAATTAAATCTTTATTGTACATTTATTGTAGTTCTTACGGTCATTGTGCGTATAATTTGTTAGTGAAATTTATGTTTTTGATCTCCAAACCTTCAGTTCAGTTTGGATCTATCCATTTATATGTGGACGGACCCGTACTCACTGACTTTTTCCGATTTCCACATATTTCTAGCAGCCATTCAAGTGAGGAATTTTACGTAGGTGGTCCAGATTGGAAGTCTGTTTTCTTTTTGTTGGTAGGTCAGCGATTTCAATCATAATTGGGCTGCCGCAGATGTAGTATCATGACCAGCTTCGTATTGTGTTTAGTCTTATAGCAGTATTGCATTAAGACAGATACTATTCATTGGACTTTGCTAATTTTCTACAGGCTGCTATGGGATCCCGAGGCTGTGTCGGCTTGATTGTTTCGTACCTGCTGGATTGGCCACAAGTAGAACTACGACCATCGGGGGTTTAGTCATCACAAGCCAGATCCAATTTTACAAAGGCATTCAGAGTGAAATCGTCATTCTACGTTGAGTTTTAACAGTGTCCGGGATAGACTTCTATCAGCGACTTCTAGGGACAATAGAACTTTCGAAAATTACCAAAAATAACCGCAAGAAAGTTCTAGTCTGCTTTTAAACGACTTTAGTCTGCGTGCTGAAAATTAATTCAGGATCTGAAAATTAGATCGACTTTAATGTGAGCAAGCTTCACTCCTCACTTGCATAATATACCATACTATTCTAAAGTAGATGTATGTTTTTCTTATGTCAATGGATCACTCTAGAGCATAGGTGAAACATTATAAATAAGTTTACGCAGCAGGTCATTGCGTTGCCCAGGCTCTAAATTGCTTGAAAACTAGCATAAGTAGCAAAACAATTAACAGCTTCATTTTGTTGGCTGACGTAGCACGTTTATTTAGCCCAGAGAGTGCGAGACAGATTATTTACTCTCTCCTTTAAGAATGGTCGTCGTCGTCGGAAAATGAGGCATCGTGTGGCTCCAGGTTGTCGAATCGCAAGTTATCCGCAGCTCAGAAGGTCTACCTATATAGGTATCTGTACTCAATAATGCCGATGGAACTATAGACAACTTGTGTTAAGCCTGCATGACCTTTCCGAATTGAAGAAAAAGAGACGGGGGAACACTTTTTGTTCGCTGTTTGAGATCAATGTGTGTGTGCTTTTGAGATCAATGTGTTGGTTGACGAACACAGCAGCTCTTCGATGCCCAACAAGCGACTTCCATGCATCCGCTGGTTAATAGGCTATATTGATCTGTCTGATTGGCATACCGTATAGGATATCAATGCATCTAAGACGAGTCAAAATTCTGACACAATTTTTGATATGTTAGATGTGAGGAACCTCTAGATATCAAACGCGATTTATTCATCAGTTGTTTAGGTTTAACATAGATCACTAATCGAAAACAATACAAGAAACCATGTTTAAACTGAGTGCTAAAACAAAAAAGAACTGCAGTGAAACAACGCAAGCTTTCCTACATATGTACTTCTATGTATTAATGTTTCTACTCCCAGCACTTAAATCTTCTCACTACGAGTATGTATGTACTTTCTTCTAGAGATGGGCGCGGGATATCGGGACCCACGGGACTAAAGTCCTTTCCCAACACTCCGATGAAACCGCAACCGCCGCAAATTCAGAAAATCTTTCTCGATGCAGGATATATGCACTTTTTTTATGTACTGAGACGAAAACGAGCAACAAAGCAGAACAAAATAATCGGAAGATGCCAGAAATTTTATTATTTTATTTTTTATTAATTTGAAAGATATGTGAATTTTCCTTAGTGATAGATTTCGGAACCGACGGGACCCGCGGTACAATCCTGAAAAACGTCGGTATGGGCGGGCTCGGGACTTGAAAATTGAATATCGGTTTGTGCGGGATCGGGATTAAATATTTAGTCCCGTGCCCATCTCTATTTTATTCCCTCCCTTGTGCCACCAACACATTAAAAACGAAAACTGAAAGCAATAAATTCCAACGAAACTATGCGAATATCAACTAGAGTAATAACAACACCATTATCAACATCTTCCACGCTTGGAGTGGCCTCAACCCCATCAAAATCCAAATCGGGAAACGTAGTGTTGCGCTGAATAGAAATTCAATACTGTAAAATTGGCGAAAACAATTGAATTGATTCAGAAGCTGCGCGAACGTAGAATAAATAACAATAACAATGGCAATAGCAATAGTAACAACAACAACACCGAATGCGGCAGCGTCACAAGCGTGCAATAACAATGAAAACAGCAGCTATAACAGCAGGATGTCTACGATAACAACAACAACAACAGCAACAAAATAAATGGAAGCAACAGCAGAAGCATATAGCAACAATACA